CTCCCCCTCCCCACACTCGGGGCAGGCGTTTTTTTTTTTGTTTTTTTACAAGAAATATTCGCGCGCGGTTTTTCTACTACCAGGGCGGTGGCCAGGGCGAGCCGCCGGATTGGTGCACGTGTGACAGTTGCTTCCCCGAGGGTGGATTGGGGAATCCCGGGGGGAGGAGGGGATGTTCCCTCCCCGGGGCCGGGAATCGACAGTTTATATTTATAATGATTTTTCTCAGACACTTAACTTTGTTTTTTTTTTTTATCGGCTCTAAAAATGGAAAGAGTCTAATAAAGGGAAGGCAGGGGGATGGGAGGGCAGCGCCCGGGCAGACCTGGCTGCCCTCGCGTCTGGCCCCACCCCGGCCTGCTTTGCCACTTGGCTTGCCTGAAGGTGTCTTGGGTTTGACTGGTGCGGCTGAGAAGCCAGGACCGCGCCCCTCGTCATGTGGGGGTCAGAGGTCCCCTTCCTCTGATCACTGCTGGCCCAGTGACTGGCAGGTTACGGGGTCGCGGGAGTGGCGGCATCTGGGCATTGCCCCTCGTTGCTCTTGACTGGCTTGTTCACCCGTGGGTCTGAGATCCAGGGGCGGAGGAGGAAGGGGTTGTCGACCCCAGGAAGCAGACACCCCTTCCTCTGCGGCAGTGGACAGAACCAGGCCCCCTGCTCCCAGAGCGTCCATCCAGGCTGCAGCGGGTGGCCAGACACAGGACCCTGAGGGCTGTGTACTTGTTCTCACCTGGCATCCCTCCCAAGGAGAGGGGTCATGCTTATGTTCCTGCCTTCTGCCAGCTGGGGGTCTCACCGCTGGGGGCGGGGGCGACTGCACCTTTACTCCAAGGGGAGGGGGAGGGAGGAGGAGTGTCCGCCCCCCAGTGATACCGCAGAGCCGGAGGGTCACTGAAACGTGTTTATTTGAATGATCGATAAAGTAACAGATACACACAACAGTGAAGCTGTGCAGATTCCAGCCACTCCAATGGACGCCGGTAACACGGGTCCAGCACGGATCCCCCGGCCGGGGGCCGAGCAGACTGGGGAGAGGCTGACATCCTGCTGCCCCTCTGTTTAAACACAAGTCTCTGGGAGCAGCGTCGGCTTTGCTAGCGCCCCAGCCGAGTTCTGCCCCACCTCCAGGGGAACCCGCACCCACAAGCGCTGCTGGGAAAGCCCCCTCCGAACCAGCCAGCCCACCTAAAGCACTGAAACCTCTAGTAGCACTGCGTGGGGCTGAGTCACGCTGGAGTCCCCTGTGCCCCCGAGGGCCTGTGTGCGGGACCTTGCCCTGGGGCTCTGTTTACATACCGGCTGGGGCTGGGGCCTTCCCCAGGGAGGGGGGATGTGCTGTCATCAGCTGAAGCCTTGAACTCGATGGTGCAAGGCCGGCTCAGCTGGCAAACGATCCAAGCGGGTGGCGGAGAGGAAATCGACTCCTTCAGCGCCCTGGTCTCCCCGCTCTGTCGGGCTGTGCCCGGGTGCCTGCTACTGGCAGCC